TATTATTATTATTATTATTATTATTATTATTTATTTCTCAACATTTACTCCTTTCATCTTTCAATAAATTTCGTTTCGCCTTAAATTTTTTTTTATACAATCCAAGAAAAATTAATATATATTTATAAAATCAAATTTATTATTAATTTTTTATATAAGAAATGTTGTAGCACAACAACAATATTATAAAATATTATTAAGAGTATAAATAAAAATAATTAATATTGCATTATAAAGTTAAAATAATTTGTTTTCTTTTATACAACACTTGTTATTGGACATAAAGTGTATTATTGTATATTGTGTCATCGTTTTACCACAGATGATTCAAGATTCGATTTTTATAAAACTTACCATATTTGTTCTTATTTTTATATTGATATTAAATATATATAGGCTCTTAAATAAGTTTGTAGAACATATTAAACTTTTATTTAGTAAGACTAAGTCAAACTTTTATGTAACTCAAGTTCTTACTAGACATATTCAACTAATGTTGAGGTCAAGTTTAACAAACTCTCACTTGATCTAATCTATTTTCATTCATAATGTTAAAAAGAAAATAAAAGAATGCATCCAACAGAAACAATTTTTCGCAAATGATTCCATTGTTGCCAAGCGTCACAAGCGGAATATTGGATGTTAATAAAATAAGAAGAAAAACATTAATTTATTAGCAATAATTTCCTCATTATTCATCATTCACAATAATTACAATTCATGAAGTAGCCATGAGTACTTATTTATTTAACATATATTGCAATCCTCATTAATCATTCACAATAATTACAATTCATGAAGTAGTGATGAGTACTTATTTATTTAACATATATCGCAATATAAGTACTTGTTGCAATAATTACTTGTTGAACACATATATATATATGGTAAAATTTCCTAATAAAGAGTGTTTTTGTCTTATAACATGTATCTACTATTTCTTTGAACTAGAAACTAATTTTATTTATAGTACTATAATTATCATTGACTTGATGAGTCATTACACTTAATGTGAATTAAATATAGATTTCATGTTACACAAATTTTCCCTACAAGATATAAGCGCATGTACCTAACCACTTAGCCATCCACATAGTAAAGAACGTGTTTACTTGGCCGAAATATAGACCTACAAAAGTAGGCTGAGTAGACAACATCTGACCACAACGGAAACAAAAGAAATGTGAATAAGGTGATTGGTGCAAGGGCAAGCACAGAAACAAAAATTGGCACCCATTTTATGCTGTTGGAATATGTTATGAAGAAGGCACTACTAAATGCTACCATCATGCTTATTATGGAGATAAACAGTGTCACCAATCCATATATCAGCTTCAGACGCAGTGACTTGAAGAAATCATCCTCTGCATAACGTGCTATGACAAGCATGGACAAGAAAATTAGAATGGAGATGGAAGATGATACGAGTGCAGTTGCATCTGATATTGCAAATATTATGAAGATGATAGCATTGCGAATGGGATTGCAATTTTTGTCATCATCGCCATGTGGAATGCTGAAAGCTGCAGTGAACACTTCTGTGGCAATGAGGGTTGAAACGATCATACAAGACTTTGCCATGCTCTTCATCCAACTTTCTGCTTTTGTCAGTAACTCTGTGTGTTCTTCAGTGAATAGTTCACGGGGTGTTTTTCCATTGGAGTTTCTCTTCTCTACGAAACAAGGTGGCATGTACTTCTTCACCTCCTGTAATAATTTAATATCTAACCTACAAGATTTTCTATTTATATATGAAAGTTAGCTATAATGTAGAGCATCGTGAAATGATGCCTAGAAATGGGAAATAGAGACAAATCAGTATGATAATACAGGGTCAAGAAACAGTCTCTTAGAAACAATTGCACCATGAATTATTATGAGTAATTAGTAAATGTACAATTTGTTCATCAAAAGTTTTGAGTGCAAATAGATCATGTAAAACCTAATTTTTTTGTTGTTGTTGAATAATATAGATTTTATCAATTTATTCCAATATACGTACTTAAAAGGAACCTATATGTACCCAAATAAGTACTCACTCTTTTTTGGAAACTATTTTGGGTACATAATCTATATGATAATACGTACTCAACGTGTACCAAATATATATCTATTGCATACTTGTATGACATGAAATTTGTAGTACCAAGTGAGTAAATGTACATTTTAATTTGATTCTTGAAAGTTGTAACATTTGTTGATTTGACTGTTGCATATAATTTACTCTCCAAACTTGTCAACTAAATGATAATTTAGTCCTCCAAATGTATCAAGCTTGTGAAAATTTAGTCTCCAAATTCGGTCAACTTTGTGTCAGAAGAGCTAATTTATTAACTGTTAAGAACCAAATCAATGCAGCAATAAAATCTTATGCATGCTAAATTATTATCGACTATTATCTGAAAAGAAAGAAGGAAAAGAGCAAATATATAGAATACATGCATGCATAGAAAACAAAGAGAAGTTTGGGCAACATGCATGAGATATAGAAATTAATGAGATACCTCATACCACCGTAGCTCGTGCATCATCTGAAAAGCAGCTCCAGACACCAAGTTAAGTTGGCTTGGTGGTGCTAATTTTGCAGCACAATGCAGTAAATTGTTTTGGTCATCATCCTCGTATGTTACTACAAAATTCCTGATAGTTCTTATTTCATTTATTAGATTAAATATGGCTGCATGGCGGTGTAAAACAGCTATGTGAATGATGCTTCGATTTTCTGCATCAACTTCCCATGCGAGATCCGGGTAAGATCTAACTAGCTCAGCCAAAACCTCAAAGTTTCCAACTTCTGCGGCTATGAATATTACTTGAGATGGTTCACTTATCACTCTTTTCATTTGTATCTCTTCGCAATCAAGCTCAAGAAGGGTTTCCCAGAGACACCTCACAAGTTGGAGTGCCAAAGTTGGATTCTTACCTATCACAAATAGTTTCACAATCTGGTTATATATATGATGAAATAAGGACCATGAAATCAGTAATCTCATAGTAGCTATATTTCTAGAGTATGAAGAAATATACTTTCTTCTCCCCTTCTATGTTCTAATGAATAAAATGTGGTGTCCTCATTTATGATCTTGATGTACATAAATTAGACAAAATTGTAAAAGATGAAAAATATTCTTAGTTTAACGTCAAAATGAATAAATGTTATGAGAAAATTATTACATGGTCCGAAACTATCTTTGTTATTAAGTATTGACAGTTTTCTAGTAACACAATTGAATTTTATTGGTTCATTTTCCTAAACTTGTTATAGACATAATAATTAGAAAATAAATAGTTGTTAATGTGTGTTCAAAGATGAAATATGCATTATAAGACATTATTATGTATAACTATCAAATATATGAAGGGTTAATGTTATTATGTCAATTTACTATGTTAATTAAATGTCATGTAATGGTTGTTATTTTATAAACAGAGTGTCAATTCATGTAGTTTGAGTGACAAGAGCAAGATAATTTCCTCGATTTTTATATTTTTTCTTTATTTTTATTTTTCTTACAGAAAATTCAATTATTTGTCATGTGAATATTACTTGAAATCATAAACACATGGTGGTGACCCTCGTTAAAAGTACAAATAGATAGCACGTGATGCTGCCACCAAAGTTTTGAATAAGACTAATTATGGAGACTTACGTGAGTTTATGAGCTGATTTGGTCCTCGACAACTAAATGCAGAAGGCTTTCGGGCCAAAACATGCAAGCCCGTTTCCTTTTTCTCATTCCGAGCCACGACTAACATCTAATTCTCTTGTAACATCTTTAAAGCTAAATCTGCAAAATTTCCATATACCTTGAATTGAAAATTCAGACAGAAGCACAATAGTAGCTCCCTCTCTCTGGTGATTACTTTATAGTACTATGATACATGATTATTGTTCTTGTTGCGGTTGGTAAACACTATAATCTAATTGGATTCAGTTACTCTGTGATAAAGATATGCAAAGTCCAAAAATAAAGACATATCTATTGTTGTTTGAGTTTATTCAATAAGTATCTCATAAATTTCAAAGTTGATATAACATCTATTTAGATAAATTTTTCAAAAACATTTAAAAGATAAGAAAATAGGAAGAAAAAATAAGTTAGTTTTTTTAGAAGTTCAAATAAACTAATACATAAGATAATATGTAAATGCTCTTTCATGTTAATTTTTCTTAAAAACTTTTTTTATAACTTATTCATAAATTAAATTAGTTTATGGAGAAGTTTATTTTATTTTATTTTTGTTTTTTGTTTTCTTCTTTTATAAGTACTTTCTAAAAAAATTATGTAAACATGTATATATTTTTTACTTTTCTCACTTCATGCATTTGTTCAATAGGCAAATATAAGTTTTAGATGGTGAATTTAATTAGGTTTAGTTTAATTCTATAAACTAACTTGTAAGGTGAAAATTACTCTCTATTTATATACATTATTATAATCACCTTATTAGTTGATGTGAGATTTCAAATACATCATTTCATGTCAAGGACTCGATCTCTTGAATATAAAATTTACAGGATTGAAAATCTATGATAAGGTCTCACCAACAATCAAATTGCTATAATAGACTATGATATTTTTTCAAAATAGTGAATTAGAGTTTAATTCAATTTTATAAAATCGACTTATATAAGAGATTACTTCCAATACTAAGCATCAATGTACATACCATAAATGCCGGTGGTGATAGAAAAGAAGAACAATAAATTCCAATCTTCATCATCAAACTTGTGGTGGTGGTTTTGGACAGTGTGAGGGTAGAGCTAGTGTTATGAAACTTAAATTAGGAGTTTTATTTTGCTTAAATAATATTAATGGTGTTAATTATGAGTGGCATTTAAAGATGCAAACATTAGTTTTTTTCTTTCTGCTATAAATAAGTGTAACATTTCATTTGCAATATGAATGAGAATACAGAGAGTTTATTTGCTCCCAATTTATGCCTTTTATTCTTAACAAATTGGTATCAGAGCTTGTGTGTGAGAGGTGAGTGTGTGAGTCGACCTGGTGTACCTAGCCCGAGAGAAGAGTGTCAAAAAGTCTTGTGAGGTGTGTGAGTGAAGCGTATACACTCAAGAGAGATGACAGGTTTAACAAATGGCATTCCACTACCCAAGTTGACTAAATAAGAGCAAATATATAGAATACATGCATGCATAGAAAACAAAGAGAAGTTTGGGCAACATGCATGAGATATAGAAATTAATGAGATACCTCATACCACCGTAGCTCGTGCATCATCTGAAAAGCAGCTCCAGACACCAAGTTAAGTTGGCTTGGTGGTGCTAATTTTGCAGCACAATGCAGTAAATTGTTTTGGTCATCATCCTCGTATGTTACTACAAAATTCCTGATAGTTCTTATTTCATTTATTAGATTAAATATGGCTGCATGGCGGTGTAAAACAGCTATGTGAATGATGCTTCGATTTTCTGCATCAACTTCCCATGCGAGATCCGGGTAAGATCTAACTAGCTCAGCCAAAACCTCAAAGTTTCCAACTTCTGCGGCTATGAATATTACTTGAGATGGTTCACTTATCACTCTTTTCATTTGTATCTCTTCGCAATCAAGCTCAAGAAGGGTTTCCCAGAGACACCTCACAAGTTGGAGTGCCAAAGTTGGATTCTTACCTATCACAAATAGTTTCACAATCTGGTTATATATATGATGAAATAAGGACCATGAAATCAGTAATCTCATAGTAGCTATATTTCTAGAGTATGAAGAAATATACTTTCTTCTCCCCTTCTATGTTCTAATGAATAAAATGTGGTGTCCTCATTTATGATCTTGATGTACATATATTAGACGAAATTGTAAAAGATGAAAAATATTCTTAGTTTAACGTCAAAATGAATAAATGTTATGAGAAAATTATTACATGGTCCGAAACTATCTTTGTTATTAAGTATTGACAGTTTTCTAGTAACACAATTGAATTTTATTGGTTCATTTTCCTAAACTTGTTATAGACATAATAATTAGAAAATAAATAGTTGTTAATGTGTGTTCAAAGATGAAATATGCATTATAAGACATTATTATGTATAACTATCAAATATATGAAGGGTTAATGTTATTATGTCAATTTACTATGTTAATTAAATGTCATGTAATGGTTGTTATTTTATAAACAGAGTGTCAATTCATGTAGTTTGAGTGACAAGAGCAAGATAATTTCCTCGATTTTTATATTTTTTCTTTATTTTTATTTTTCTTACAGAAAATTCAATTATTTGTCATGTGAATATTACTTGAAATCATAAACACATGGTGGTGACCCTCGTTAAAAGTACAAATAGATAGCACGTGATGCTGCCACCAAAGTTTTGAATAAGACTAATTATGGAGACTTACGTGAGTTTATGAGCTGATTTGGTCCTCGACAACTAAATGCAGAAGGCTTTCGGGCCAAAACATGCAAGCCCGTTTCCTTTTTCTCATTCCGAGCCACGGCTAACATCTGATTCTCTTGTAATATCTTTAAAGCTAAATCTGCAAAATTTCCATGTACCCTGAATTGAAAATTCAGACAGAAGCACAATAGTAGCTCCCTCTCTCTGGTGATTACTTTATAGTACTATGATACATGATTATTGTTCTTGTTGCGGTTGGTAAACACTATAATCTAATTGGATTCAGTTACTCTGTGATAAAGATATACAAAGCCCAAAAGTAAAGACATATCTATTGTTGTTTGACTTTATTCAATAAGTATCTCATAAATTTCAAAGTTGATATAACATCTATTTAGATAAATTTTTCAAAAACATTTAAAAGATAAGAAAATAGGAAGAAAAAATAAGTTAGTTTTTTTAGAAGTTCAAATAAACTAATACATAAGATAATATGTAAATGCTCTTTCATATTAATTTTTCTAAAAACGTTTTTTTATAACTTATTCATAAATTAAATTAGTTTATGGAGAAGTTTAATTTATTTTATTTCTCTTTTCTATTTTCTTCTTTTATAAGTACTTTCTAAAAAAATTGTGTAAACATGTATATATTTTTTACTTCTCTCACTTCATGCATTTGTTCAATAGGCAAATATAGTTTTAGATAGTGAATTTAGGTTTAGTTTAATTCTATAAACTAACTTGTAAGGTGAAAATTACTCTCAACTTATATACATTATTATAGTCATCTTATTAGTTGATGTGAGATTTCAAATACATCATTTCACATCAAGGACGGGATCTCTTGAATATAAAATTTACAGGTTTGAAAATCTATGATAAGCTCTCAACAACAACCAAATTGCTATAATAGACTATGGTACTTTCTCAAAAAAGTGAATTAGACTTTAATTTAATTTTATAAAATCGACTTGTGAAAGGGATTATCTCCAATAGTAAGGATCAATATACATACCATAAATGCCGGTGGTGATAGAAAAGAAGAACAATAAGTTCCAATCTTCATCATCAAACTTGTGGTGGTGGTTTTGGACAGTGTGAGGGTAGAGGTAGCGTGCCATTTCACTTTTTCCTTGCAATGCAGCCATGTGAAGTGGGGTGAGTCCTTCCCCACCCCTTATAGTTGGCAACCTCTTATTTTTTCTTAACATAGCCTCTGCAATTCTTACATTACCAACTGCAGCAGCAAAACAGAAAGCAGTGTTACCTTTGTGATCTTGAAGTTCTAAATCTTTTTCGCTCAGTAGTTTCAGCAACTCCTCTACAAAATGAAAGTGATTTGCTTCCGCAGCCACATGAAGTAGTGTGGCCCATCCCTGTGAGATTGCAGCACTCGCCAACCTTCTATCTGCATCAATCATGGTTCTTGCTTCCTTCCAATCGCCTTTTATTGCAAGATTGTAAATTGGAGCACATTTCTTCACGTAATCCTCTAAGTAAATAGAGAAAAATGTTAAACATGCACATTTAATTATAGTTTTATTTTACGGATAAAATGGTAGATAAGAGATTATACTCTCAAAACTACTAGATATAAAACCAATGACATATATGAGATCTTTAGACTAAACATCAGTGTTTAATCAGTGATTAATCAATAAATTAATAGATACAATAAATGATGTAAAGTGAAATCCTATTTGAAAAAATATATTATCATATGTAATAAAGCATGTTCATGATTGGTTCTACATATAAGATGTGATTTTAGGAAATTAATAATTATATTTTTTTTTTCATCTCATAATGATTTCATTTTAAGGTTTTTAAACACAGATTAAGAACAAATAAATATATCATTTTTTTAA